GGGTAAGGAATGTGCTGTTTTAGCCTACTGTATAGCTCCAATATTCAGCTAATTTGAGACTTTATATAGTGTGTATTACTTAAAGGAATACTGTTTTGTAAAGAACAAAATAATCGTAATTGAATCATTATTTTTACTCTTAAAACCACATCACAATAACTGGTTGTTACTACAATCAATCACCAATGCAATTGTTTTGAAATTACATACAGCACAGATTATGCATTTACACATATTGGTTCATATAAACATAATTATTGTTCCAAATAGAAATCGGCATGTGGTTAAACTATCATTTATTTTATTGAAGTCGGACTCTGGAAATACTGGTGCTATAATAATTATATCATTATAAACACACACACACATACAGTTACCAGCTTCAATGCAATTTTCAACCAGCAAAGTTTATTTATATATAACAACAGTACAAAGTGAATCCTTGGCTTGCAAAATAGGTGTGCTTCATATGTACAATAGATACACAATAATATATTATAACAAAACCAAAGCAAATAAAAAACAAAACAGGAAAACCAACTTTTTTTTTAAATACTTTCTTACAATTTTCACAACACTTTTATAAAACAAGAACAAACAGCCAATATTATTATCATCATTGTCAGTAATAACTATTTTACAGTAACTCCAGTGTCTACAGGGGATCGGTACAGTTTGATAGGACAGAAGGATAAAGTGGTGATTTTCCAATGCTAAAAAAATAATGAAAATACTAACAATAAGGTCAGGATTTTATTGTTATGTCTTGGGAAGGAATGATGCACACACAAATCTATTTGGCAGCAAAAAAAGTGCACAAAGTCTCCTCAGGTTGGCAATAATAAAAAAATAAAGATAATCCCCAATCAACAGGCAATAAAATGTAAACATTTGCTTAAACTTCGCAACATTGAAATTATATTTGAATACTGTTAGTGTTGACTGTGATAATAACATGGATCAAAATACAGAGATAGAGGTGAAGCCACAAAGTTATTAAAACATTTCATAATCTGAATTTCCAAAAAGTTGATTACATTTACTGAAAATTATTTTAATTTGAAATGATAGATTGTATGTATTTATTATTGACCGTTATCAAAGAAAGTACCACTGAGATTTCAGAATGTATTCTGGCTCCAGAGAGAGAGGAGCAATTGTACATGTTTCTAGCGGTAGGGGAAACCGGAGCAACAACCTAACCCTAACCAACGGTGCATTTATTTGTACCAAGAACTTTGCATTTGCACATCCTTGATTATTTGTATGCTATTTTAAAAGGTAAATTGGACGATTTTCTACTTCCGGGTGGATCATCAAGACTGTTGGTCCCCCCAATTGTCAATCATTCTGGTGATAGAGCTCGTTAAATAAGACCAGAGTTCTGTTCTGGAGAGGGCGGTTCTTTCCTATAATGTGAGAAAATCCTCCTATATACCTTTAATGCTAATGTATGTTTTTTTAATCATAATCGGTGTGTAATTACAAGCTTAAGTGTGATAAACAAGTTTATTCTATTTCACCACCTTTTGGGATATTGTACAGAATTTGACCTTTGACATAATATCTTCTAATTTGAGTATCCAAAAAGTTGGACGTGGCAAAAAGACATTTAATCGTTTTTGTATCAACTTTTTGGAAATTGTACTGGATTTGACCATTTTTGTAGTGTTTGAAAACTAGCTAAAAAAACAAACAAAAAACAGCATGACAGTAACACAGAGCCACCCTCAGCCACTAGAATAGTTCAGAGCCAGAGGGCTGTTGATATACACACACAGAAAGATCCCTTTGGAAGAGGAGAAGGCATTTAGGTCCTAGTTTAAAACAACAATAAAAAGCATTTCTCCATTTAAGCAGTACGAGGTATGAGGAGGATACAATTCTATTCGCTGAACTCGGGAAGACACCTCACAAGCCAGGAAGAATTCGCTGCGTGTGCTGTGAGTGGTAGTGGTCGGACACAGAGGAAATTAAATAATTATCAAAAACAACGGCCGCAAAATGGTCGAATTTACAATGATTTCCACCTCATTCGGTTTCCACAACAAAACAATGTTTGCCAAGGGCTTCACGTCTCTTATAAAAGTATACAGAACAAAGTGTTTGATATATTTGACGAATTACTTTAGGTAGTATTGACGTTTACATCGATGAAGTTATTACATGTTCTATGCCAAAGACTTGTGATTGCAGCTGGGTTTTGTTACATGTCCCTGTCGCACACACAACGTTACAGTTATTAATCACTGGAGTAAGAAGGATTTTAGTTTGATTTGTAGAAAAAAAGGAAAAAAATGATATGAAAAAGAAATAAGCAGTAAACTATTGTCAAAAGTAAAAATACAAAAGGCTTAGAATGACGTGAATTCAAGTTATAAGTCTAGTATAGGTATTTTTGGTTGGGGTAGATTTATTACCGCTCCAATAGAGGCATTGTAATTGCCTGTGTGTGCACTGTGTGTGTTTTTTCTCTAGATTGCATAAAATCACTGGATTCATCACAATTTTGAGGTGATTTGTGGGGTTGGCGGGGTATGCCCTCTCCAAAAAGTCTAGTTCCCACCTGTAATATTACAATGCACTGGTTTGAAACTTGACATTTTGCATCAAGTAAGTTGCACCGAACTACTACTGACAAAATCCTGAATTGACGTCATTTTTAAATAACATAGAAGCACATTTTTGGCCGTGTCGTGAAGCCTTGTCTGTTCAAACCATCGGGACAGACCCACGTGACCTCACTAACGGCGTGGGGACACGGTGACGAAACGCAAACGTATCGTAAACGCTGAGGAAAGTCAAAAAAGTCTAAGGCCACAAATAAAAGAAGCACCTCTGTCGTGTTCACATCCCCTCGCACACTGTACAAGCCAAGACTGCACCGTATTCAAGTACTCCACTGTGAAAAAAAAAATAAAAAACTGCGAACAGAAGATCTAACCAGTCCACAGATATTTGCCGTACGAGAGCTGCTTTGACTTTTATAAACACGCAGATCATAAATTTCATAAGCAGTGATGACCTTTCCAGTAGTAGATGCTAAATCTGGGGAGTAACTAAACCGAATGACAAGTCCAAGTCCCACCACTAGAGGGCTCAGTGAGATATCTTAACACTGTCCAGTATTCTGCTAAAAAAAAAAAAAAATACCACACAAAACACATTTAGTCCCATGATTATGTTTTGTACCTTCATTTCAAACACCTGAAATGTACATCTTTGCCCCGTCTGTAAAGCATAAACCGATTTCTGCAAACAACTGGAAAAAGAAAAGTGTAGGATTTGGCACTGGGTTTTGCGAAGACTCTTGAAGCTCCACGGGTTGGCACTTGTAAATCAAGAAGGAGCCTTTAAAACACTTTACGGATGTGGTAGCATGTGATCAGGTACATTTATGGGATGTAGTTGCTCAGTGGATAAGTGCGAGCTCTGCAGATATAGAGTATTTTGGATAGTTTGTACAGTCACGGACAGAGAAAGTGGTGGACAGGGGCTAAAACTACTGAAGATTTTCAAAAGTGGTTTGGTATGTTTTTATACTTCAGTTCATGTATTTAACCTGCATCCAAGTTTAGACTACATTTTAATATGATGTTGATGATTTCTGACAAGTTCCAGAAAAAAGTCACTGAAGTAACGCATTCTTACGACTTATTCTTCCAAAGAATTCCTCCAAAGATGGCCAATAATCCGAGCTGTTATCTGACAGACAATACTCTATATACAGTACTTTGAAGACACAATAAAGGTTGCGTTCATGTTCTAGAATTCTATTTCCGTCAGAGGGCAGGTGCCAATCCAACTCTATGGGATCGAAGACATTTTGGAAAGGCATGTTGAAGAGAAAATGTCCAAATTCCCAGTTCATTGTTTGATAGTGATCTGAAGCAGCAGGGGTGGGATTAAATACGTTTTCTTTTTCCCACTCCTTTTTGAGTAGCTGTAAGTGCTTCTCTTGTGTATATAATATTTATAATTTCGTATGATGTAAATGTTACTCAGGGTTATTTATGCAAACATTTTTGATCATTTACCTACCTTACCTTAGTTTCTCATTTGCTCAAAATAAACAATCATGAAGCTGAAAGGGAGATGAAAGTATTGCAGATCACAAACTCTCCATAGATGAGAAGATTTTGAACTTTTGCTTCATGTGTTTCCACAATTTGAAATACTGTTATAAGCTGCATTATGAACCAATAACATTTCCCTACTGAATAAAGAATCTCTTAATCTGAAAACAAACCCAGTTAGTTAGTTATCGCCCTGTCCACCATTTTCGTCCGTCTCGACAGACTTTGATGATTGGTTGATTTGACGTTCGGTGGCACACAGGTCAACTGGGCCAAAGTAACACAAAAAAACAAGCAAGGACCAAAATAAAGGTTACATTCAAACTTGTTGGAAGAGATACAGACAGGGAATGAGTGGAAGGAACCCAGTGGAGCCAACGTAAATTCAAACAGCTAAGGTGCAAGCACGCCGCCTCAACTTTGGAAATCCTCCTTGTCACTTCAACGGAGAGGTTTAGGCCCGATTGTTGGATAGAAACAAAACAAAACACAGCCGGTATCGCTCTTTACACAATCTATGGAGGCTGCAACTCATGTCCATGTACAAAAATAAAAATCTCCTTGAAAGTGAAATTGTCCACTTCTTCTTGTCTTTTTCTGCAATCCACGTATAGAATAAATATGTCGCCGCAGTTTTCGTCATGCACACACGCGCGCGCACACCCACACACACGCGTCACCCCCCCCCACCCAAATATCAGATCAAATAAATAAATAGAGGTTGAGACATTCCTTCCTTTTTGCGATCAGCAGGATAAGCGCTAGTCCAGTCTCTAGGCCTTAGCTGGTACCGTGGGAGGAAGAGCTAAAGCAGGCGTTGGAATCTGAGTCTGTCTGCTCGTAAGGTCCGTGTTTTCGGGTTCGTACTGCACCGCCGTGAAGAGGTATGATGTATTTGCGACTTGTGGACCGCTGGGGGCGCTCTCAGCTCTCCAGAGACATGGCAGAGATGAGCTGGTCCACTTTGTACGCCAGGCGCTGCTTCCTCGCCGTTTCGTCCTGTTCCAACGCGGCGGTGATCTGAAACAAAGAAGATTTTATATTAATGGGCTTGTGTTTTAGCATTACAGGGGCTCCTCGTTTGTCGCATTTGGTTACATTTTGAAAATAACCCGCAATAAGGGAAGCATGGGAAGTAGCAGCAATATGTTTGAAGGCTGTAAAACCCCTCATCACAGACGTATACAATTTTCTAACCACCTAAACTTACGACTGCTGTAGTGCGATCGCAAGGATATGAAAACCTGTTTGTTGTTGGTCTGAGTGCTGCTGCAGCTGTCAAAAGCCATGCATACACCGTGAAAAATACAGACGCAGAAGACACAGCTCTGAGCATCAGTAGCAGGGCTGAGGTCTATGAACTAATCACAGCAAACCACAAAAGTTTTATAACTAAATAACTATCTAATTTTTTTAAATAAACAATAATTCAAGCCTTTAAATCTCCTTTTGTTATTATTATTTTTACAGTGAAATCCAATGAAAGTTTTCTATTACTCTAACTCTACTAGCATCAATTACTTGCTACATGTGTGGCAATAGTGAGGCACAATCTTGTTCAAAAGATTATTATTTGCAGAAACTAATTGGTAGTTAAGTTTAGAGAGAAGTTAGATAAGTTTGATACATGTAATTTTGGTCTGTACGAGTTAATATACTGTTGGGGGACCTGTAACGAAGCAAATTATCGAGCGATATAACCTGAAAGTTCTGATGCCACGGGTCGAGCTTTTATCTTTGAACTAATCCTTTCAAGTGGATTTTATAACAATATTTTTTTTCACCATAATACATCCAAAGCCCTGGTGAGCGTCTGAGGGCCTCCAGTTCATTGATGAGTCCAATAAAAGCACTAATTGAATCATACTTTTGAAGAAGTTATTGTTGCTCTGTGCATTGCATGGAAAGCTTTTATTCCTAAATGAGCAGAAACATTACATCATGCCCTTTGCTGCTGACTACAACTGGGAGAAATATTTGTGCATTAGACTGTGCTTTTTATCTTTGGAGCGGGCGTCGTGTAAATTTGGCATTTGTCAAGTTTGGTTCAGAAGAGAATGACAGGCTCTGCTCTGCGTTCACTCGTCTGCTGTGCGCTTGTCATCACCAATCTATGTCACAGGCATTACACAGAAGGCCCTTTAAGCCCATATGAAAGAGCAGAAATAATGGCCATATGGGCCCTGGATTCAACAGTGCTGCGGCATCAGTCTGTGTAAGGTCGGTGTAAGAGGATTTGAGGTTAAAGGGCAAAGTACAGTCCAAAAAAAGTCAACTAAAGTAACCATTATAGTTATGTTCAGTAAAGAAGTATTTTAAACTAGGGCGGTAACAAGCAAAACAATATTTTACTTTTAAAAAAATCGATCGACCAGCTATTTTGATTAATCAATTAGTTGGTTAAAAAGTGAATACTAAATTTTATCTCAATTTGATCTTGATAAAGCTGAAGTGAAGCCAATCAACAACAACGTCCTCAAGGATTTTTAACAATGAGGAACACAATTTCAAATACAACATTTATGAAATTATTGTTGTTAGATCCTTAAAATCCCATCTTCCTGAAGTTTTCATATGGATCCGTTAACAATGACTATTATTAGTTGTCGATCATTGAGGAATCTCGATTTGTTGTGATCGATTCGACAATTATCTAATGGGCTCATTGCTCATTAAGAAACAAAGCACCAAAGTGTCGCCCTGTTGATTTAGTTGCAAATCAAGTCTCAACTAACCAGACCCTGATCAAGAGTGGAACAATATGAATGTTTTTTTTCTGTTGGAACATAACTTCAACAACTTCTGTCTAGACCCAACTGTGACACAACCTTAAGAAGCACATACGCAGCCTGTGATCGACCAGAGTGCTGCTTGGATAGAAATACGCTGAAATGACGCGCGCCAAACAACTTTCCTCCTGCTTTGTAGAGATTGGTTAGATAGGTGTGCCCTGGGCCTACACTACAGCCTATGGCCCATTCACAATGTCTGCTGCTCCACATCTCCCACTCATCTGCTAAAGTGCTCTTCTACCCCCATACCCACATCTTACTCCATCTTTTTAGCCCTAATGAAATCTATTATTAATCTGAACCATGCATGCAGGTGCACCATCTCCCCTCCCAAATCCATTTAGCTGTGCCCCGCTAGCTGTAGTTAGCCTGACACACCACCTCTTAGTAAAATGACGCTGGCTTAATAGTGTTAGATGATTTTTTATGCACTCTCGGCTATACGCGGAACGTGTTTGCGTATGTCCGGAGCTGTCTGGATTGCAAAGGCAGCGAAAAGTGGGGTTCAAGGGGGAGTTGGCTGATAATAGGTGGTAAAAATGCTTGAATGTAGATGAGAGAGAGAGAGAAAAGGTCAGACTAATGCTTCCCACAGGAGCGGCTGACATTACCAGCACAATGTCTGCATAAATGCTCTGTCTAAAGGCGTTCTGTGTAGAAATTCAGAATAATGGACACTATTCTCAGAGTGGACAAGAGCGGTGTGCAAAGGGCTGCTACATATTCCTTTTGTAGTGGGCAAAGATCACTTTTGTGGGACTGGTTCGGACACAGAGTAGGATAAAGTTGGGGGTGTCCAAAATGTTTAGTAGGAGGGCCACTTTAGTTTAACAGACTTGTCCAGGGGTCGACAACATTCTAAAACTGCTTTTCAGGCTCAGGCTTAAAAAAACTGATATGCTCATATTTATTAACACAGCAACTGCCATTTTGGGACATAATTGAAAACAAGTAACAGTATATACCAATGGTGCAGAGCTTTACAACGAGGTACAGCATGACCATTTTGGTGGAGCTGAAGTTGGCTGGATGACTCTATGAAAGTGCCTCAATGGATAGTTTGTATTAGCAAGGTAGAGGGCTACATACAAGGAAACAGAGGGCCACATTTGGTACGAGGGCCTTGGTTTGGACATGCCTGGACTAAGCAGTAGAAAGTAAAGGTGGAACTCAGATATAAACAGTGATGGGAATAACGGCGTTCAGTAACGAGTAATCTAACTAATTACTTTGACAGTAACTATAACGCCGTTATCCTTTCCGACATCCCGTTACTGTGCGTTACTCAAGACGCACAATGAACGTGTTGTCATGAGAGAAGGGAGGATGAGAAAACCTCTCAGCAATTATTGGCTGATGTAAAACATATTTCCTTTACAATCTACATGTCTACAGTTGAGAAGATGGCTCATAAATTGTGTTTTTGAAACAAATATGGGTCTTAATTGCGCTCAACCACGGCTTGTATCACCGTGAGGTCAGCCACAGAGGAGCGCATGTGAGCGCAGAAGTCGGCTGCATACAATTCCATCGATAAGCTCCTTGCTCTTCCTGGTTTATCTGCTAAGGACAGCAACAGGTTTGGCTAACATACATATAACACATTTTTACATAATCTAAAATGCACATAGGGTAATTTTTCAATTACTATAGGAATGATAAGAAAGAAAGGTGAAGTGTAAGACGGTTGATTTTAGAAATTGGATGCACCCGGCTGCCGCTAGCAAAACACAGGAGTTTATGGAGGACACACGCGTTTTGTTTTACTTTTTAAAACTCATTGGACTCATTTCCAAATGGAGGATTACATATCTACGCTCAAACCATTCACTGGATTTAAACAAGGAACTGGTCTTAACCGAAGTGGACTGTGCAGGTCATTTATAAGGTATAGCTATAAGGTAAGACCCATAACTCATAGTTTTGCGTTTTGTATGAACAAACAATGCGGGCATAAAACATATTTTGCTGTAGCCAAACAAATTGTCCACTTGATTTATATGATGTATATGTTCATCTGATTGGGCTGAAGTCAGTGCTTCACCGGTGTTTCCACATTCACAGTGGTGGGTGTTGGTGTTTAGTGCTTACACAGTGAGAGATGAAGAGTGAACAGGACTTCAGCAGCAAAACAGCATTTTCTAGATGGAAATATTGGCACTGTTAAAGGTAAAAATGCGCACGTCGGGTGCACATTATGTTCCAGAACAAAACGAAAAAGTAACGCAATAGTTACTTTTACTGGTAACTAGTTACTTTTATAGTGGAGTAACTCCGTTAGTAACTCAGTTACTTTTTGGGAGAAGTAACTAGTAACTATAACTAATTACTTTTTCAAAGTAACGTGCCCAACACTGGATATAAATGTTAATATTAATAAAATTATTCATATTGTTCAAACATTTATAGATATACAGATATACCAGGCATTTGTTTGGTAAGTGTTGATGATTATGGCTTACAGGTTTTTACAATCTGTAAGCCAATTACCAACATAAAAACAAATAAGTATAAATCTCACTTTGTATGTAATGATTCTGTCACATACTAGTTTCACATTAAAGTTTAATTACACACGTTTTTTTTGAGGCGTTCCTTGCTGATGCAGTTGGGTCTAAGGCCAGTGATGATCCAGGACATTTAAGGACATGTTTTAATATTTATGAACATTGGTCATCTGCCCTCTATGGACCCATGGCTCCTTTTGTGTTTGTTATTATTGCATTTCCTGTGTTCGAACAGTTTCATTCTCTGATCAATTATTGCCGAATCGACTACTTTGTAAACTCCTTCGAGACGACTGCTGCTGTGATTTAGAGCTATACAAATTTAATTCTAATTGAATTGAATAATCTGGCCACCCCCCCCCCCGACCCAGACATGGATTAAGGGGAAGAAAATGGATGGATGGATGGATGAATTGAATAAAACATGTAATTGTTGCTCAGAAATTCGGACAGAAGCAATAATCTAGTGCGTTCACATGATTCGCCTTGTTAACTGGATCTGACCTCTGTGCATTGGTCATACTCCTCCTCTACCCTCCCTGCCCTTTACCCCTCACATCGCTCCCTTAGGCGGAAGTATACGCACGCAAACGCACCGGCTTTTCCTTCAATTTGTGTCGACAATCTGTGTATAATTTAGTTGGGCTGCGTCTCATAAGGCAGTGGCCGCCCGGGTCTGCCCTCCAGCTTCAAATCTGCAGAAACAGTTCTCAGAGTGTGTGCGCTTCAGTGGAGGAGGGCCATAAGTAATGATATATCTGCCACGGTGCCTGGGAATACTCATTATGAAAGAATGCAAGATTAATTATAGCGTGTGGTAATGTACGGCATGTGATATGTATGTGTGATGGGATGAAAACAGCGGGAGGTTTTTGATGGAGGAAAGAACAAAGAGGAAGTGCGTCAGCAGCAGGTGGCGGCTCAGAGTATATGTTGGCATTGATGCGAAATGGGAAGTCAAGCGGAGTGAGATCAACATAAGGTTAGGACAAGACTGGGGATTGGTTGGTAGTTTACATGTTTGAGATTTAGCAAAACATTCAATAAACGTAATGTTAAAATACATGATCAGAATGTACTTTTAACTTGTCTGAATCTTTCCTCGTTCAGCAGTTAAGGTCATACTGACATAATTGTTGATTCTGTTTTCATACATATCCACTTGAAGTAACCAAAAACAAAACTATTCTAAGCAACTGTGCAGCTTTCACAATATTTTTTAGTTTTAGTAAAAGTACTGGTAGCACCATTAATACATACTTTCATACTAATTATAGGGGGTAAATTGGATTATTTTACACAATTTTAAAAACAACAATAAATCTAAATAGATGTGAAAATCTTTCTTGGTGGTTCAGGAAACTTCTTTCTGCCTATGTTGTAGGTGGGTAGGAAATAATTTCAATAGCGAACTATCTGAATGACGTCACTAAGACACGCCCCCGCCGCCTGTCAACTCCCGCCCACATGTTTCGGACAAACACTGCCCAAATGAATCAAATACCACTTGTCACTTTAGACGAAAATGAAATACCAGGGGCAAAATTCCACCATCAAACCATCAGGGATCATAGTGTAGACCAATTATAACGTTGGCTTGAATGTCGTGGTCTTCCAGTAGAAAGTTTGAGTTGATAAAAAGGTAATGGTGAGGATTATGCTAACATTATCTAGTCATTTAAATTGCAATGCTAGCGCCTTCTTTGTTTGTTTTGCTGTGATTAACTTCCATTTATCAAGTTTTTTTTTTTGCACTATCCACTTTGTAATTAGTTTGATCATTAGTTAGCTACAGTCAGCTGATATTATAATAGATCCATGGGGTCACAACGGGTTACGCCACTACTGTCTCTGCAGAGAGAAACTATCGGAGCTAGCCACACTCAGTAAACGCAAATGACAATCAATCAACACATTTAAATGTTAATGGGAGAATACATTATACACATTCATAACACAAGTGCACGGAGGTTTTCAGAATTAACTGTTCAGGTTTTCATGACAAAAATACTTTTTTAATGCAACTAAAGCGATCGCTTTTTAAAAGTAGGTTAACTATCCTCACTGTTACTCGCCTGCCACGGGAAAACCTTTGGGAACTATTTTCTTTGCACTCATTAAATAAACCTTTCGGCATTAATAGTGAATGACGTTTATTTTGCGTGTTGAGTTGGTACAAAGCCGTATAATAAGCGGACCCCGACGCGCTTCGTCTGAACTTATTTTCAGATAGTCACAAAGTTGAAAAAAATCCCCTCTCATCTTTCTTCAGGTGTGAGAATTGTATACTTTCTGGATTAGGACAAACAATACTAATATGGATTGATGGGGGTAAATGGTGTAAAGAGAAAGTTTGTGCTAACTACATTCAGAAGAGCTCAGACGGACCTGATACAGCGGTCCAGATCCAGTCCCAGCTAAACGTAGCTAGGACTGGATCTGGATACTCCACAGTTGGTCCAGCTTCACAGACGAAGTGTTTTGAAAAAACATGTGTCCTTTTTAACCTTTTCATGAAAGAAATTCTGCCGACCACAAGCACCCACCTCTTGCACTTGTCCTGGTCTGATCTGGTCCTGGTCTGGTCCTGGTCTGGTCCGATGTTGTGGTTTAACGAACGGGTTGAATGTTACTTTGATAGTCCTTTTCAGAATATCTGAAATCGCTCCGACAAGCACCATAACTGCAGTGTTTTGTTGTCACCATGATTTAATGATTTAGCCCAAGTAAATACACACGCGTATGTGGAGAACACAGTACTCAACGCGTCGTACACAATGTTTGTCCGAAACATGCGCGCATGCGCAGTCATCTGAGCTATTTTTAGCACATTTCGGAAACCGGACAGTGCCCTATAAATAATAGGTATTGTAACTCAAAATATTTAGTTTTTAGTGTAGATTTACTGTCAATACATGTTTATAATTGCAAAAAAATCTGGCATGTAGAATGTAGGTTTGTGGCATACTAAAGCTCCGGGTTTCCAAGATGGCTGTCGATTCAAGTCAATGTCTTGTGTTCATTTGTGCATTGATGTCCAAAACACTACTCCCACAGGACCAGCAAAACATGGGAACAGTAAGTTTCACAAAAGTGTGGATTTTTAGATAACTGATGGAGTGTTTTTTTTTTGGGAAAATATCTTGTGAACCCTAGAGTTTTTAGGCTGCAGTACCGCCGGTGGCCAATGTCAATGCTGTGGAGCGGCTGAAGCTCCAGTTATTATTCTACACCAGGGGTCGGCAACCCGCGGCTCCGGAGCCGCATGCGGCTCTTTAGTGCCCCTTGAGTGGCTCCTGGAGCCTTTTCAAAAATGTCCGAAAATGGAGTGGGAAGGGTATATTTTGTTTATAGTTTCAATGTGGTTTCTGTAGGAAGGACAACATTCTTAATGTTTTCCAATGCAGTAAAAATGTGCATAAGAAATATTTAATTTTAACATTTGTGTCAACTGAGATGTGCGTCATATCCTGCGACGCGCGGTTACGCGGCCCCGCGCCGGGCGGCCGCTGTTGTAAACAAACCAGCATGTGCCACATGAGTCCGCATAAATCCCAAAGCTAAAAAGGGAAAAAATACTTGATAAGAACCAGGAACTCAAGGACAAATGGACTGTAACATTTGGCTCTCATTGAGTCAAAGAGGAAGGACTGCTTCATGTTTGCTTTGTAATGAGAATATATTGAAGAACAAAAAGAGTCATGTGGAAAATCGGCTGCTGACCCCAGTTTGGAGAGAAACAGTGCGATCGCAGTTATTCTGGAGGATTCATCTCCAAACTTCTACGCCTGAATTTTGTTGCAACACGAGGAACAAAAAAGTGCGAAACACCATTCGGGACATTCAGCTCCAGCAAACTCCAGCCTGTGACGACGTGTGACGTGATGGATATGAACAGAAAGTGCTGTAATGCAGGAATGAGAACTGAGCCAAAAACAGATGTATTTACTGTATTTCTACAATTGCATGAACGCAACAAAAGGAAAGTTAAACTTAAAGCATATATGGTATAGCAGAGTAGTCACATGGTGCGTCACTCTCTTGCACTACAGTGAAAATGTATATATATATAATAATCATGAATGCATATTATGTATTTGTAGCCTATACTTACTCATTTTGATAGTAGGCTAATACAGCTTACAGCCTGTGTTGCTTTCATATAAACCTTAAAAAAGGCAGTAAAGTTTATGCGGCTCCAGACAGATTTGTTTTTTTTATTTTTGCTCAAATATGGCTCTTTGAACTTTTTGAGTTGCCGACCCCTGTTCTACACCCACGGGAATCCTCTGCTCTGCTCACCTCTTCGCTGTACTTGCTGATGTAGGAGTAGATCTCGTTCAGAGCGCTGAGCATGTTGAAGTCGCAGGAGTGCAGTCGGGCCTGTTCTGCCAAGTACGCGTTCATGTCCTGGTCACTGATGGCGGGCAGGCGGTTAATGTCCGCGTAGTACCTGATAAGAAAGACAGGAGGCGTTATACATATACGAGCATACAGGTTTTATCTCATTACAATGCACAGATAAATTAAAGGATGGGTTTGATTTATATTTCTTCATTTTTTATTGTGTTATCCAGTGTTTAAACAGGGAAAGTGAATATTAAAAATACAAATACATTTTAAAAAATCTGCTTTTTCAGACAGAAAAGTCAAAAAGAGTACCATCCTCTCTCAGCCAACCAGTTATTAGCCTAAGGCCTCAAATATGTCTCTTTGCCTATGCATGTTGTGGCCTGATTTGTTGACAACGTTCTGCTTTTAGAAGATTCTTTCTGCTGGGACAAGCACAATAACTTGAATTTTAACAAACATGACTGTAAATGAAGGAGTAGTGTCTATTAAGCGAGTTTCCCACTGGATTCCACATTACACACAGAAACAAGAATATACATGCATGACATTTTCTGCAAAAGCCAATTTGAATGAGCTGTACTTTTTTTATAGCCACACTAGCCCTGGGGCAGCCTGAAGAACATCTGAATTTAGCAACAAATGTCTACTGGCGGTTTTACTATTTTGAAAATGTCACATATTACAGAATACACCAGAAACAAACTAATCATGAGCAAAAATTTGAGTCATTTTAACAAGAGTAGGTAATCCCTTTTTTTGCACTGAGCAGTACCACTTTGAAGCCTTCACAAAGGATTAACCATAATTATAGGGAGTTCTATCATAAATACAGCAGGATTATGCAGCGAATCGTCTCATTCTGCTTTGTGTGAAGGCGTAGTGGAAGATAGTGTCGTACCTCTCCACCCAGCTCTTGTAATGGGGGATGTCTTTAGCATAGAGCAGCTTGTTGGAGGGAGAGTCTTTGCCCAGCCGGTGCTCGGACGTGGAGCAGGAGTCCATGAAGGTCTGGGCCACCACGGACAGGCAGGCGTCCGTGATGCTGCTCTTGTGGATGTCGAACACAAACTGAGGGTTCTTGATCACGTTCACCCAGAACCTCAACGGAAGGCTGAAAGGAAAAAAACAAAAGGCATTAAAAAACAGGAAAAGTTAAGGTCTGATTATTGTCAGGCAATTCAAATTGCTCTGGTGCAAATGGGGTGTCAAACTGGTTCCAGAACGAGCCGGTGTGGCTGCAGGACCGGATTCACTGAAATGGATGAAGTGTGGTGTGCTCCTGCTTGGTTGGAATGAAAACCTGCAGCCACACCGGCTCTTTGAGGACCGGTTTGACATACCTGGTTTAAAATATGTCACGGCATTCAACCATCAAAAGATACACAATATTATAATATATTGTAGCCAACAGTGAACGGCAGCCAATAGAAAGGGTTCAGTTGGATTCCTACATATCAACCAATTATATTTAATTGTGGACAATTTAAGTGTAAAACTAGACATGTAATGAATTAAACAAGGGATTATAATATTTAGGGAATGAATGAGAGGGGAGGATAGTTGGATAGCCCAGATAATAAATACAATGTCCAGCCCTCATTTGATTAGAAATCTAAAGACATTATTGAATAGGGCACAACAGTTCAAAAAATATATTTCAAGTTGTTTTGCCTTATTCACTGAGTAACGTGTGAACACCTGAAACCAACACTACTTCAAAAGCTATAACTATCAAAACGTCTTCCTCCATAAAGTGAAGCGTTTGTAATGATGAGTCAGAGAAACCGTAGCAGGCAGACTTTGTTTTAAGGTTTCTCTCCTTGCCTCAGTAATGGATCTTGTTAATAACAATAGTATCCTTCTCACCAGTTGCTTTTCCACGTGTGCCGCACGTCTGTGTCGTGGATGCCGTGTCTGTCCGCTTGCTCGTCCAGGAAGTCAAACATGTATTTTATGGCCAGAGGGAGCGTGCTGCCTCTGTGCACTGTACTGAACAACGTCTCAAACAGGTCGTCCACAAACTTCTGCAGTGTACCCTGGGAAAAAAAACAGAAATATCCAAGTTAGTAATCTTAGTATTTGGTCTACAGACAGAGAAAGGAGTAAAGGTGATGTTATTACTGGTCATTCAGATGGGGCTAGGGTTTTCATGAGCTATACAGACAGAGTGTAGAACAGTATGTAAGTAAGTAAGTCATCTTTAGTCATATAGCGCATTTTTACAGATCAAGGTCACCCAAAGCGCTTTACAACATTCAGTATGCAGTGGAGGTGAGCTAAAGACTGTACCAATAACAGAGTGTCAGACCAATTCACAATTTCTTTTCCATTTAGGTGCATATTTTTATATTCTATTTTGGTTTCTGCCCTGGATTGGTGTGTTTGGTTAAAATCAAAATACTATATGGCCAACCAAATCTATGAAATATCAATATGTGTAGGCGATTTGTGTAAATACCTCTGAGCCAAGTGCAATTATAGCTCCGGAGTTTATTTTATTTTATTTTTTTATTATATTTTATTATCTATCACTTATCATTTTATTGTTTTTCTGCTGTAACAATGACACTACAGTAATATTACCCGCTGTGGGACGTATAAAGGATTATCTTAGATCTTATCTGATTATATCTACGGACAACGGAATGGACATTTATGAACATTGGTTGACCTGTTACCCTATAGACTAATGACTGTTTTTTGATATTGGATTTCCTTCATCCATCCATCCATCCATTTTCTTTCCCTTAATCCAGTTCTGGGTCAGGGGGGTGGCAGTCAGAGCTGCACCCAGTACACATAGCACCAGCCCCTCGATTTTCTTATGATTTTCAAATCTGCTGTTATCTAACGGCCCTCACGACCACTGCTGTGGGATTTTGGGCAATACAAAAAATACATTGATTTGATGGGATGTTGAAGAAAATAAGTAAAACAAAATGGTTGTGCCTTGTAGTGCCATCTTGACACCACCAGTAAAAATATGAGCTTAGGCCATTATGTTTCATTTAGATACTGTATATACCCAGTAATTGCAGAAACTATACTCATAACATACAAGAATTATTAGTATCTTAAAACATCAATTTCTAAAAGTTCAATCCCCACCTCAAGTCATCGCACAATTCCAAAACACTGACCGCTCAAGGAATCTTAGCATGACATCTCATAAACCCAACTCCTACTCCAGTTGTGTACCTTTGTGGCAAGCAGTCGGGTGAGATAGATCTCCGACACCATCTTGCTGCCGCGGTCGCCCTCCTTCTGGTCTCCGTGCTCGTGGTTCTTCACCAGATGCCACACCTTCACTCCGCTCTCCAGGTCTGGGGTGATCATGGGCGCACGGGACCTCATGCTGTCCGGACTGCCCGTGTACCGGAAAGAAGAGTCTGTAAACACATGGACAGAACACAATACACCATTATAAATCATTTTTTGAAGTTTGTAAATTACAGAGAGTGTGTGGCGGTTCACAGACGAGCCAGAGCGAGCCACTGCCTTTTGGGTCTAACATCATAACGATTATGCCAACATACACAAATAAAAACAAGCTGGTCTAACAAAGGAAATGAACAAGCTCTTAAAGTGATTTTTTCAAATGCAAGCGTCAGTTAGACCCGCCCTCATAACTTCCTCATTGGACGCTATGAATTCCAATCCTTGATAGACAGCTGAGGTCACTCCCCATTGGTCTAATTATTCTCATCCAGCAAATCTTACTGGTGAAGTGGAAATATATTTTGAATGGTTTTTATACCAACATGAAATACAATGGAAGTGGCAGTCATCACCTTTAAACGTGGTTTTTGCATGATTCCAATGGTCAGCTGTAATCCTTTTCGTTCAGTTGTTTGATTGGCATCTTAGAGTATTGTAACTTCAAAGAGATTCCTTTTTGATCTCCACGTTTGATAATATATAATATGGACTAGCCATGTTTGGGAATAACAGCAAAAATCAATATTCTTTGAAATGATGGCAAGAAGGCGGTTATTAAGGGTTCTTGGCAAAAATCCACCATGTTGTTTGAAAGTATAAAAAAACAAAGTTAAGCAGCTGGGTCACTACTTGCTGTAATCACACTCATTATACAATCTACATTGGTTTATGCCTATTTCCAATTTAATTTAAACAAAAAAACCCATCCTCAATTAGCACAACAAACAAACGTCTCGCAACAACGCCCACGGGTAAAGAGGTGTTTAAATTTGACACGCAGATCCTTCTACACCACACACAGATTTTGCTCAGTTCACTGTGGCTCATTTTGGAAATTAATCCTCGAAGGCACAGAGCAGGAAATTACAAACGTGGGGTTAATTTCATCACACAGTTATGAGTGGTACAGGATGTTGTGGCGTCTGGCTCCGCACCAAAGTGAGGAAGACGCTTTAGAATTGTATCCAAAAGAGGTTCGTGCCCTTCGTGTACCGAGTGAAAGGGGAAATTAATCGGAAGGTATGTTTTTGCTGCTTGGTAGTTACAAACCCAAAATACAGTGTGTATTCAAGCAGCTACATAAACGTAGAAACACTAGCCTGAAATATTCTTCCAATGACAGTGGTGGAATGTTGCGGAGTACAAAAGGAAAAGCACGACGCATACAGTACAGGAGGAACTCGGAAAAATAGAATATTGTTCAGAAGGCCATTTACTTCTGCAATTGAATTTACACTCACGAAACACAAAGTAAGATATATTGAGCTCATTCATTTGTTAAAATGTTGATTATCAGTTTATAGCTGGTAAAACCCCAAACAAAACATCTCAGAAAATTAGAATATTTATTATAACAAACAAAGGCTTTTTGGAAAAAGTCACTTTGGATGAAATGAGTCTAAATCATGTATTAGTTTCACATTTTAAGTCAGAAATAAATGTACTTGTAGGAATACATTTTTTAGGCATTTATAATTTACGAAGGATACAGTGCATTCTTTATTGCTTTTACTACATTTTAGAACAGTAATCTGTACTAGAAATCTGCACGACCATTGACACTGGGACTGAATAAATATATGTGCATTTCAGACCACAACATGCTGTTCATTATCTTACTAGAAAACATGTTGTCTTTTGGGTAGGTGTGAGCGGTCCTTTCTTTCTCTCTGAAAAAGCTGATCATAACATGGATTGGACAAATTGGATACATGAATATTATTTCCATATTTCCGATGTTGTGGTTTGAAAATTAGGTACTCTAGCTTAAAGTACTCTAGCTTAAAGTAACTACGCTCAACTGAAAATATTATACAGTATCGACAATGTTCAGGCGCACATTTTCAGCCCCAAAATATACACCAAGTGTGCTAAGATCATTATCTAAACAACACTTATACATTGAATAGCCTCTAAATCACTCATTATCCACATCCGTTTCTGTGATTCCATTTGAATATGCCCATATAATTTCCTCCAACGCAGTCTGTTTCCCTGCGAATGAACCAGCACGCCGTAATGCACGATCGGAAGGTCAAGCACCGCATTTAGGAGTGCCGTGCAAAGCGAAGCCTCTAAACGTCCGCTATTCAAAGCTGCAGAAACGTGTCTTGTCTTTCCAAACATGCAAACAGATTCCTCCGTGCTGCTCTGTAATTGTGATGTTGTGCCTGGCTCCTCTTAAAAGACTCGTAATTGGTCGCGTCCTGCTTCATTGTGCCAAACTCCCGCTGTACACAAGTCTGTCACCCTGTAATCAATGCATCAAAAGGCTGCTAATTCACTAAGCACTGGAATGAGCGCTCTCATCCATACATCCTCCTCCAGCCCAGCCTCTCCCTTCACACTCGCAGGCGGCACTCGGACTCACGCTGATCCGGCTTTCTCTAATTAGGCGGCATCTACTCCTCTTGCCGGAACGCTCTCTGGAGATTATGGATCTGAGGGTCTCAATAAAGATTCATCTCCACCGGCTTCAAAGGACGAGCTAAACAACACGGAGGTGGCTGGCGATGGAGCTGTGTAAGTCTTTCAAAAAAAGCAAAACATTATGATCAAATGGTGATTGGTTGATGAAGTGTGCCATCTTAAATGCCGGGTAAGTTTGCAGTTTGTAGATCTAAAAACTCATGGGATATTCTGTCAAGGTGTGGACTTTAATTTTGAACTTTGATTTATCCACATAGTATCACACAAATCAGAGACATCAATAAATACATTAAAAACAGAATAAAATCACAAATAATGGAAAAAAAAAAAATATATATATTAAAAGCACACACGGGATTAAAATAATAAATAACCACAATGCATTAAAAAAAAAAAGAGTATGTATCAATAGAATCCTTCAGCCGTATGCACAGCTAAAAAGAACAGTTTTTAGCCCCGATTTAAAAATTGCCAGAGTAGATGCTAGCCTCACATCTTCAGGAAGATTGTTCCAGATTTTAGCTCCATAAATCTCAAACGCTGCCTCCCCATGTTTAGTTCTGACTCTTGGAACCAGTAAGAGGCTACCTCCTGTGCTCCTCAGAGTCCGGGTCGGTTCATATGGGACTAACAAGTCGCTTAAGTACCCTGGTGCGAGGCCATGGAGAGACTTGTACACAAGCAGTGCTGCTTTGAAGTCTATTCTCTGAGCCACAGGAAGCCAGTGCAGAGACCTGAGAACTGGACTAATGTGGTCATATTTCCTGGTCCTGGTCAGGACTCGAGCTGCAGCATTTTGGACATACTGCAGTTGTTTTACAGCCTGTTTGGAGAGACCTGTGAGCAGGCCATTGCAGTAGTCTAACCTACTGGAGACAAATGCATGGATGAGAATCTCCAGATCTGATTTAGACACTATGTTTCTAATTTTGGCAATGTTTTTCAGATGGTAAAATGCTGCTGATGTTACTGATTTGATATGACTGTTAAAATTTAAGTCTGAGTCCATTATAACTCCTAGGTTTCTGACCTTGCCTACAGGTTCCAGGGAGAGAGACTGGAGGTGACGAATAACGCTCTCTCTTTGTTTCTGAGGACCAAAGACAATCAATTCTGTTTTGTCTGCGTTTAGCTGAAGGAAGTTATTTTGCATCCAATCACTAATCTGTTGAGTACAGTGAAGGAGTGATTCCACTGGTCCATGTTCTCCTGCAGTAAGTGAGACATAAATTTGAGTGTCATCAGCGTAATTGTGGTAGGATACATTGTTGGAGCGTATTAACTGACCTAACGGCAGCATGTAAATATTGAACAGAAGAGGCCCCAGAATTGATCCCTGTGGCACTCCGCAGGTCAGAGCCATATGATCTGAGACACAGTTTCCTATCTGAACCAAGTATTTCCTGTCTTCTAGGTAAGACCTAAACCAACTTAGGGCAGTCCCAGTGACACCCACCCAGTGCTCTAGTCTCTGCAGGAGGATCTCGTGGTCGACTGTGTCGAACGCAGCACTCAGATCCAACATTACTAAAACTGTGACTTTTCCTGTGTCGGTGTTAAGTCGGATGTCATTTGTAACCTTCACTAGTGCAGTCTCAGTGCTGTGATTGGCTCTAAAGCCGGACTGGAGCGCATCAAACGAACTATTAGTTACTAAGAATTCTGTAAGTTGTTGGTAAGCAACTTTTTCCAGAATTTTTCCCATAAACGGCAGATTTGAAATGGGGCGATAATTCTTAAGAACTGTGGCATCTAGACTCCTCTTTTTTAGGAGGGGTCTGATGACTGCCGTTTTCAGGGCCATTGGAAATGTTCCAGATGAGAAAGACATGTTCACTATTTGTGTGAGCAAAGGTAAAAGACTGCTCAAAACAGACTTAAAAAATTTAGTGGGTAGTACATCCAGGCTACATGTGGAGGAACTAAGGCTAGAGACAACATCTTGGACAGTTTCATTATCTGTTGGTGCAAAGTGCGATAGCTCAAACAGCCTCACCGGCTGTTGTAATGTTATTTCTGCCTTGGAGGTGATGGCGTTTTTGATGCTCTGAACCTTGTCATTGAAAAATTGTGCAAACTCATTACATTTAGATTCTGAAGCAAATTCGAATGGCAGCTGAACAGGGGGGTTTGTTAATCCGTTAACTGTTGAAAACATAAGTCGTAGATTATTATTGCAGCCATCAATGGTTTTAGAAAAATAAATTTCTCTTGTTCTACGTAGCACCCTGTTAAACTTGCACAACTCATTTTTGAAGATATCATGATCAACCTGGAGATTGGATTTTCGCCACTTCCGCTCGGCCCTACGGCACTCTCTCTTCTGTACCATGACTGAGTCCATTTTAGTCCAGGGGGCCTTTTATGTTGTTATGTCATCTGCTGTCTTTCTAGTTCTCCTTCCTGCCCCATTGATTGTTTGTCCGACTTTAGTGTTACTCTCACGTTTCTTCCCGGGCTTGTTTTTAGTTTAGAATTTTTGTGTTTTATTGTGTTACCCTGGATTTGGATTTATTTAATTAAATTACAGTTCTGAAAATGTTGGGTTCCATCTTTTCATATCACCTCATAACATACTTTTACATTTTAGTCCTCTATATTTACGTGTATACTTGGGGGGCAAAGCTTACCCATTGTCCAAGTTTTACACTCAAAAAAGACCATCGGGTGCATCAAAGTTTTTCATTTCACCATAGTCCTCTCGTAGCACCATCAGTTCCAGTGTGTTTTTTATAAAAGCCTTGGTGTTATTGTAAAGCACTTTGGTCACTTTCTGGTGTAAAAGGCCCTATACATACAGGTTGATTGATCATCCTTTTCCCAGCTAAACAATTGGCAATTGAAGCTGCTATCTAATTTTCATTGCACCAGCCCCTCACGGATCCTCCTGCAGCGTCCACAGGAGAATGAATGCGCTGTCAGTGAGGACATAACCTTGTTCTTTCAGAGGGGAGCTTCAGGCAAAGTGTGGTTAAGTGTCTTGACCATGGACACACCAGCTGACGTCAGTGGGAGGCGGTGACATGTCTCGTGGGAGGATCGAACCCTCAACCATTAGATCCAAAGTGAGCCACTGTCGCCCCACTCTCAGATTACTTATTATATTTTGGGCATGTTCACTCTTGTTGGTCTGGTTCCCTTTAACTGGACCAGGTCTAGTTCAATTGGGTGGAAAAATGCTACACAGATCTATTTCAAAAGATTGACTGACTTGTGAACATGTTTGGTGGTTTTACATGGGCAAAGAAAGCCATTTTGCTCCAAGTGAACCAGCTTTGGTCCAGTTAAAGTAATCCAGACCGACTGCTAGCATAAATATATTGTAACACCTGAGAAAGCAGAGAAGAACAGACAATGCGGTTCTAGCTCGTCTTTGCTCCCTGTGACGCTCTACTACACCTCGGGGGAATTGGTGCCACTGAGCGCTTAGTGAAATATTGTATAAGAACTCAACAGTGAGTTGGTAGAGCGCCCCCAGCAGGTTGAGCAGTGCCATTGTGACCCCTGAGTCCACATGATGAATGAGAGACAGCTAAAGCCAACCGACGGATAGCTTTCTGAGCTAAGAAAATTCAGTACAAACCCTGAACAAAACATTTACAAAACACACAGGGACCTTTTGTGGGAGGAGAGAATGGTGGCACTGCACATTTCAAATCAATATTAATGTTAAGAGGAAAGCTCTCTTCGAAAAAAACTTCAGATTTCAATATTTTCTCCCACAACATTGCATGCTGCGTACAGCACTGTTGGAATGATATTCAAAGACATCTGGATACGACTCAAACCAAATCAGATTGCAGTATTTGTCTGGGAATATATGTATTATATCGATATACTGTATATATATATATATTATTTGTTGGATTATAAAATGCGACATTGATCGTGAAATGAATAATGTTAGTGAAAACTGAATTACAATGGACTTTTAGAAGTTTTTGTAGTCGCCGCAGACCTACGCGAAAGCGAAAATGTTATCATCACTGTTTAATTTTGGAAAAGTATTCCTTTCTAAGTTGGCCAGATCTTCATAAATTCTCAAATCTATGCTTAATATATAAAGCAACTCATAATTTGGCTCCCACTCCACTTGCAGGTCTGATAAGTCAAAGGAACAGTAGTGAGCGGCTCACTAGAGGCTCCGTGAGAGGCGACCGTGTGATCCCTCTGCGTAAGAGCACCTTCAGTCAGTCTGCCTGGTCCGTTAGAGGCACCAGAGAGTGGAACTCACTACCACAGACTGTTAGACAGCAGAGCACATACAGGGCTTTTACACAGCACCTAAAGCAATGGATGGTAAACACATACACCTGCCCACATTAACTGATGTATGATATGCTTATGCAGTCTTGTAAATAGTATATTTTTGAATGTGTGAACACAATGTTAGTCTTGAATGATGTTATCTCTGTCTTGTAATTTTGTCATGTTAATGTATTTTAATAGCTTTTTAACATCACAGTCAGGGGACTACAGATGAAAAATAGCCTCCTTGGCTAATTCTGGCTTTTTTAACTCATGTTTTATCATGTGTTTTATTAAATTGCATTGTCCCCCTTTGAAATAAACTAAACTGAAACTCTACCTTATTCAAGTCTGTCATGTCATTTTAACATTTATCTTCAGCTCCAATTAAAATCTACCAAACACTTTCTGAGATATTTTAGCCACTTCATTAGCAAACTGTCCAATTTTCTAAAGGTCATCTCAGATAAACCTCTCTCCAGCCTTCATTGCATTATATTTCTGAGCAGCACTATTTGAGTAAATAAGTTGTATAATTGCCCACTGGGTAAAAGTAATATTATGTTTTGGTATGAAGTCACTATTGTTCCTTTCACACAGCTATAATAGGCCATGCTCACTCATTTATCTATGTTTATGTCAAGTATCATTCACACAGAATAATTAGCGATAACAAGACACGCAGAGGAAGCCTGGCAGCAAAGTCAAATTTGGCAGCAGTGTGGTAAGTGGGAGGAGGGTGACGTGAAGGTAGATCTGCAGAAGATGTATTCAAACAGAGAGATTTGAATGTGTAAATGCCATTTCACATAGAATAATCAAGCAATTAGCACAAAATAGTGAAGTGAATGAAGGATCATACGCTAAAACTAAACAGTGTGCTTTTTGCGCTTTTATAACAAACTTGGACTAGAGTCTAAGTCTCCCTTGTAACTAAACAGGACAAGACAAATTTCAGGAGAGAACCACCCTTTCAACTTTTTGAACAAAACTCTCTGTTCTTATTTGAGGAGCACGTACCACCAGAATGATTGACAATTGGGAGGATGGAATAGTCTTGATGATCTACCCGGAAGTAGAACATCCTCCTATACTGTAAACCTTTAATGCAACACAATGGTTAGGAATGGTTAGGAATTCATGAATAAACCAAAATGTGCTGTTACTCCAATGTTGACCCGCTTAAAGCTGAGGTAAGATAAAATAAGATAAGATAAACTTTATTGATCTCACAATGGAGAAATTTACAGGTTCCCAACTTTAAAGCCAGAACAGATTGAACTATCATGAAATCTATCTTAAGCTGAAAACCTCAGCTACAACTTCAGCGGCTACAACCTCAGCTATAGCCTGGTCGTACCACACCATAGTACAAATTACATTTCATACCAAGGTCTGGAGGTGCTCCATTGAGCTCCGTGTACAGGTGGGAGGGGTTAACTCCTTTTGCAGATTGAAACGATTGGATCTGAGTTTACCATTACGTATGTAATGCGCCCCAGTGAGTCGTTAGCATATAGCATTTAGCCTAGCCATCTCTTTTGCCGCTAACCAAGCCCGTGGGGAGTATTTTTTTCGCAGTAATTTTTGCCTGCGATTACATTTGCTAAACATTCCTCTTGCTCCGGCTTCAATTTCTTAATAGAACCAGACCGGATTACTTTACTATTGCATTTTTTGCCATTACCAAACTACAACCTTCCCATTCAACGCAAACTCTTGACATCACCCACAACTAACTACAACACCCGCCACACAGGGACCAGACCCAGACGTTACAAGAAGGGAAATGATGATTGAGCGGAGTGTACGGATGGCTAAGGCCAGGCTACCTCAGCTACAACTTTAGATCAGAATTTCCAGACTGGATGTGAAAAAGAGAGGACAAGCATCACTCAGCCAATCAGCTCTCACCTCAATGCGTCAATAGTGACTCGCTGGGCTCTTTCTTACAAGAACCAGTATAACATGCTTTCTAATATGATGAAGACAACCTGTTATGGTCTGCTTTGTTCACAAACTGTTACCTTTAAAATACTCTTTCTATAGAAACACAAAATATATATTGATAAGAAAAAAAGTCGGGCACCCCAGGTTTAATACATTTTTTCAACCAAATATATGTGTTGGGATAGGAGCGTGATTGGGCTGGTGGCTGTTGGGTCCCAGGTGAGGTCAGGGCTCAATGGAAAATGCAATACAATAACATATAAATAGAAGCATTAAATGGAATGGAAAATCATCATAATATGGAGGCTATAGCTATACCAATCTTGAAACCATTTGTCATGGCGTCTGTGGGTTGATGCAGGTTATTCCATGGTGTGAGTGCATATGGATGTGGCTGGAGAGCATGATAGTGATTTCTAATGTGCAATGAACTCACCGTATCTGCTGATAGAGGAGCGGGACATACTGGCCGAGGGGATGTTATAGGAGGAGGTCTGTTTGGGAACCAGGGCCACCACACAACGGTCCGACACCTAAGGATACAAAACAAAAATGTATGTTATTTGAAGTTAGAAGGATAGAAGCGATATTATGGTTGTAATGGTGCTTGTGAATTGTTTGACATGAGATTAATTCAGGATTAATTTAATTCAAATCAACTCAACATTATTACAGACTCTGGATCCAATTGAAAACGTACATAGAGACAAGACACAAAACAACAAACAAACAGTTATGACTTTGAAAGACAGCCATACCAGTGTCTCCACATCTTATGGATTTAGTTCTCCATTTCAGTTTTTATTACTTGGTGGACTGAGATTATTCTATTATTTAAGAAGGTTGTGGGCTGAGTAGAGTTGGACTTTGCATGTTCTCCCAGCATCTGCTTAGGTTTCCTCTTAGTGCTCAGGTTCCCCCCCACACAAAAACAAATGTACAATAGGTGCCCCCTAGGACTCCCATGGAAAAGACAGCGGGACTATTGTGTTTAATACTGGGTTATAGGCTTCTCGTCCGGTAAAAGATTAACCAATATGCCTGTGTCTGGACCCCTAAGGCTGCAATAGTTAGTGTTCCAATATTTCCAAATGCAACCAATGCATAATTAATTCACATCAAACAGATGTGCAGAGCGGCCACAAGGACTTTCTTGTTTACAATAGAAGGATGAGCATGATTATACCCTGCAGAAATGCATTGTTCTGACTTAAGTGAAAGCAACTGTGCTCCACAAAAGCTGCAAGATACAAACAGCAAGAAGAAGACTAGCACAAAAGGTCAGTTTAAATAATCAAATATATATATCTATTTTGGCTTTCATGGAAACTCAATTAGTTCTAGCACGAGATACCGATGGCGTTCAAGGAGCTATAGTTTAACAAAAACAAAACAAACAGAAGCAATTGTTGGAATTTTTCCTTGCAGAAGGGACGAAGCACAGTGATGATCCAGGACATTAATAAATCATGAAATTACCAAGTGCAAACATTTATGGACATTATTCAACACTGCTACCCAATGGACCCATGTGTTTCTTAATTATTACTTTGGCGTAGTCTGGCACAGAATCTTTCCAATCTGGTTTTACTGCAAATGGCAAATAAACTGAATCTTGAATATGGCATTCCCTATGTTGGAGAATTACAATTTTGTTAAGACCTCTGCAGCAACTGATTCAGAGCTATAAAAAAATACATTTAATTGAAATGAATATATCAAATTATACTTTCATATTTTTCACTCTGTATGAATGTTCTCCGCTATCATTTTTTTCTTCTTTTTCACTTTGGTACCAGTGGCTTCAGACAATCCCTCATACACAGGCAGACAAAAGCAAAAGTACAGCGTGACTTTTCTGGAGTCTGGAGCTGCTTCAAGTAAAAGTAAAGTGGAAAATGGGGAACAGAGGTGTAATAAAAGAATGAGAGGAAAGATTCAGTCAAAGAGATTGGCTCAGACATGGAGCGGTGTGAGAGATGATGTGTCATGAAGGACACATCGAGAATCATTTTTCTTTTTTCATATTTACAAAGGACTTTCTGATGTGCTCATGTCACTTACCTTTGACTCTGATGCAAGTGACTTCACAAGGACGAAACACCGTGTAATATGCTCAAATAAAATGGAGTTTGAACTAGGAAAATGAAACCGGTGGAGGACATTGTGCAGGCGTGATTACACTCGCCAGAGAAAGTGAGTGATTTTGAAGATTGGACACTTTTTGTACAACACTAAAGCCAATTTGCTCTTAGCACATTTGTTACTGTTCATTCATACTGTACGTGTTAACTTTAGATGGTAAAAGTTTTTGAAGCTAAACCTGTAACTACTCATACAATCTGCCACAATTTTCATTAAAGGGACTGTATGTAAAATGTGGTTTAATGAAGTCATTACAATCACATTCAGCTTGTGTTGTCCAGAATCTTTTCTAACAAACCGGCTGATGGATGTCCCAGAACCGAAACTTAACATTTTCCAATAAAAATATATTTTTCTCGCAAGGACAGAAGTGTGCGGGAACCGTTATTCTTTTCATCAACAAACTGAAAACCCAAATGAAAAAACTCATTCTGCTCTCTGATTGGATAATTTGCTTGAAATTTGTCAATATAAATGTTATGAACATGATAAAAAACTCTTTTTTTTTCAAAAGGTCAAACATGAATTGCACATTATCTGCAGACACGTATGTATCATTATTTGTTTTACCATTTAGAACCTATGCTTTGTCGGTAATAATGGCATATGTGGGACACAAACTAAGATATATTTAGAGCTGACACTTCCCTAAGAAGTATATATTTGCAAAACCTTTTCGAACAGTATATTGGAGCAGGCCATGTGCGATGCCTAGTGACACAACAGCCTCGTCCACGAACTAGAATCAAGCCATTGGTCTTCTGGATTTGGAAAATATGTACTTTTTTGCGGCCAATATAACGTTTTATATTATCAGTCCTATCCATGTCTAATAACTTGGAGCAAATCAATTAAACCTAATGGCTTTAGGGCTGAATTTGCTTACCACGACAATGAGGAATTTCATCAGGAGGCATTTATGCATTTTTAAACAACACTTTTCATTATTCATAACCGTTTTCCTTGTGGTACGACACTAAAATAGCCTGCTTGGAAAATGACAAACACAACTTGTAACTCGCTCCCAGAAGCCACGACACGAGCGCCTTGTTGGCTGGCATTTTCAGAAGAGCCAAAGGAGGGATTTCGGTCGCAAAAAAAAAAAACTAGCAATAAACAAAAGACAAATGCCAGACTCCGAGAGGGATTCCTAAAAGAAAGTGCAGACAAAATGACTCTAAACTCATCTGCTCATTTTGGTTTGAAGCGACGAGCTGTTTCCAATTGCTTTCATGAGAATTTGCCTCTGAGAGCGTGGGGAGCACTCTGGTCGAGCCGTTTGTCCGTTTGATTATTAGGCATATGGTACAAGATGACTTTTTCTGAGAAATTCTAGGATTTTCAAGCCTTAAATCCTTTAACACATCTTGAGTAACTTTCCTTCATAACTACAGGCCTGAAGCGTGTTACATTCTACAATATTCTATTCAAAGTCATAAATTCATCTGTTTTGGAAGTATGTATGTATGTGAGTTACATTGTGGCATAGTTTGGGCATTTTATAGGTCTTCCAATAATCTGAAACTAGACTTCTACTAATCTGATTTTTGAAATGTAGTTGTATTTTAGACATATCGAAGACATCTGTTACAGGTCATTTGAAAAAGGGCACATCCACCATTTTTGTTCAGAATTTGTAAGATATTATGACTACCTACTCAGTGTCTAAAATAACTTTAGATAGTTATTTCCATAAAGTGCAACTTCAGTTGACAGTTGATGGTGGCATATAATAGAATATGGTTATCAGAAAATAATAAATTCACAGACACATTTAGACATTTAGACGATAAAAACTACAAAAGTGACAGGGAGAAGTGTAGGATCAGAGAGTGTTTGGGCCTGTCTGTGTGAGTCTTGTCCGAGTGTGTGTGTGATTTGTGTTTACTTTGTTGTATGAGGTTGGAACCAAAAAAAATTCTGCTTTTTCCTGCCCCTTTTCAAACTATGTATTGCAGTTTATATTTGTTGGTTTCTGTTTTGTTATTTTTAAGTAACAGAAAGTCACACACTATAACTTCCGTCAGCACCGTGTGTGGAATGATTGGAACAATATCTGAACTCTGAACATTGTGAAGCGCTTTGGGTGACCTTGGTCTGTAAAATGCGCTATATAAATAAACATTACTTACATACTTACTTACTATAAGAATTTGATTTTGGCTCAAGGTGTAAAGAGTTACATGAGTAAAAATGTATATGGCATGCAAACAAAATCTTACTAATAAAGATTCTAGTACACACGATACACTAATAATGCAGTACTGTAGTATTAGTATAAGGTGATTGTCACACATTATGTTATGTTATACAAATAAATCCTACCACTATAGTAACACATCCGCATCGCACACTGCACCTGTAACTTTCAACCATTCGTAGTTCACATTTCGAGGCATTTCTTCATCTTTTTAGAGCAAGCCTGTGGAGTACCTGAAGTGACCCCACGTTGGCAGGCGCTAACCACTCCGCCCCTTTCCTTTCAAAGCCCATCCGATAAGAGAAAATCAATCACTGTAACCTCCCCAAAATCCCATCTCCTCCTCCGACCTTTTGACTTCCTTCATTTCCTCGCCCTAATTCCCTTTCAACAATCCACCGACTAGCTCTAATAAACCCGAGATGCCTGCCCTGCTGCTGTGATACCGATTCTTTAGGAAGCATGAAATAGGGTCTGCGTCGCTCATCTTCCCTTGACACTTTGCTCCTTCTTTTTTTGTCTGTGTCCCTTCACAGAGCTGATAGAGAGGCTAACATTGGCGATAGGGCCTTGTGATAGGGTAAATGATTGAAGCATTGCTGATTCGTCCTTCAGGGATAATCCACACAGGTGCTGGTCTGATAGTGGCGTGGTCGCAGATAAGAGCACTGTGCCTAGCTGTGGTTGATAAGGTCCTTTTCATTAGAAGTAGCAGACAGCAGCAGAGTAGGCAGGCCGCAGGACAGACGCACATACACAGACACACACACACACACACATGCATGCTTTCCCATAACCGAGCTATGTATGTCTGTCGGTGTCCCTTATACGCCGCAGGGTGGGCTTTAAATGTGTCGCTCATGTGAATTGCAAAACAGTATGGTGCGGGGTGCCTGCAGCTGAAGGTGTAATCTGCGGTTAACACAATGCATATTTAGTGGGTGAATTGCTTTATAGTCCTGGGAATGGAAAGTAAGAATCATTTCTCATGCAGGTTTTGTTAAATTTTTTGTAGAATATGTTACGGCATTTTGAAAGGACAGTATGGCTATGTAACTTTCAACCATTCGTAGTTCACATTTCGAGGCATTTCTTCATCTTTTTAGAGCAAGCCTGTGGAGTACCTGAAGTGACCCCACGTTGGCAGGCGCTAACCACTCCGCCCCTTTCCTTTCAAAGCCCATCCGA